CACAGCTAATAAACTCGGGGAGAAGCCTTTGCAAAAGCAGTTTCTTTTCTTCCCCTTTTCTTTGCAGATCCCTGTTCTGTAGAGGTGGGAACTGCAGTGACATGAAGGCCCTGTCCCTGCCCAGGCTGGCCCAGGGGAGAGTTGGCAGCACCCAGTGTGCCAAGTCCCCTCCAATGCTGCTTTTTAATGCCAGTGTTCTGGGGCTCAGCCAGAACTGGGAAAATGAAGCACTGATTTAGGCTGAAAGGCCAGTGGTAGCTAATACGGAAAATTACTCCAGCAATCATCACTCTTTTCCTGTCACTATGGTGACAAAAGGGATGACAAAAGCTTGAGGAGAACAAGATAGGGTGACACAAGTAAAGAAGAAAAGAGTAAATGCGCTGCAGCTGGGTCAGGATAGGCAGCACCTGAGAGCTGCACTGGAGCCACGTCTCTGATGGATGCAGTTGTGTCCTCTCTGCACATACAAGGGTTTGTAAAGGAACACAAGTACTAAGCCCACCTTGCACCAAGTGTCACAGTCAATGAAGCTACCACAGGCCTAAAAAACATTAATAATCCTGGCTGTATAAGGCTTTCATGCTACAGCTTTAATCCTAATGCACTAACCATTGATTTTTGCAAGTCCTTCCTCTGCAGCAATTTGTTACTTGCTGCCTGCCTTAAGGCCAGGGTCTGCAACCAGCCTGCCCTCCTCCCTGCTGTTCAGCTCTGAGCATCATTAGAGGACACAGGAAGAAAGTCTGGTCTTCCCAGCCAAAGCAATGATCACCTGTGATAGAGAGAAACATATGTCCAAAAGGAAGGGAAAGCACAGAGGGATATGCCTGGAGGCAACCCAGCGCCAGAGGAGCATATGAAATAAGCCAGCAATACGGGCCAGCTAGTTGGGTTTACCTCAAACCATTTCCAGAACCTACCATCTCTCCATGAACAAAGATATGGGCACTAGCTCCCAGATGCCTAAACAGCAGGTTTTGGAGCTGCTTGAGGAGGGGAGTATCTTGAAGAAACTTTAAAGAACTTGGGCAATGGCAGCAAACAGTGGAGGTCCAAGGACAACTTACTTAGGAGTCCCAGTGCCAGCAGGTTGGTGCCCATCCTGTAGCAACACTCCTAGCCTTAGGGGCCAGGAGGAAGTCCCCAAGATCAAGCAGCATCCAATGACTTTCCACTTAAAGTAACAATTTGTTTTCTTGGAATTACCTTCTAAAAAATGAGGTAGGAAAGAAGAAGGAAGGGGTGCAGGGGGGAGCAGAAGAGGGTGCTAGAGGGAGCAGTGGGGTAAACCTTCATCCTGAAATGCCAAGCCAAATATCCCCCTTGCTCCACCAAGCCTTTCTTTTTGTTAAGAAGAAAAATTGTATTTTCCAGCCAGCTCTATTCATGAGTGATTGTGAAGAGCTCTGCTAATGGCTATGCCAAGCCGTGGTCACCCTACAGAGCTATTGGCAGGAGAGGTGGCAAGTTGGAGAGGAGTACAAGGGAACTCTGCATGGTATTTTTTGATGAGCTGATTATTCAGAAATTTCACAAGTGCTGGAACACATCACTGTTCTCAGACTCGGAGCCCTGCCAACACACGGGACAGCTTACATGAGCACCAGTGGTCTCTCCTTCACAGTGCTGCTGGCCGGTATGTTAGGAACCAGATGCAGGAATCAGACAAGGCTTTTTCAGCAGCTATTGACTGCAGTGACAACTAGAGGTGGGGAGTGGCTGGGAGGACACAGAAAGCTGAGAGAAGAATTAAGTACTTTTATGGCTGTCACTATGTGTGTATTTGAAAGATTTTCCTAGGCTCTGTGGCTACATGGGCATTATGATCCTTACTGCTTTTTACAGCTACGGTGTGAGAGAAACCCCAGTTCCCACATGGATTCAGGTGCTTTTATTTCAGGGGGGCTCAGTCCCCAGTCCCATTTCAGGAGCTGACTTTGGCTCCCTGCCCTGTTGCAGCCAGGAGTTTCTGTCTTAGATGTCATCCTGACTCTGTAGCCAAGTCAGGCTCCTGAAAAGACCGAATGGTCATTTTTCCCCTCTCTGCAACATTAATTAAACCAAAAACACTGTTATTTTAGCACAGGATCAAATGAGAGCCTCAGATCTGGGGGGTGGGGTGCATGTGTGCTGGGGGAGGTTAGAAGCAGCATGGAGCCAATTTCAGAAATACCACACAAAGACTTCAAGGAGCTGATGTGGCACATCCCTAGCCCATTGATCTGTCACCACACAAGCCCCTTTGAGCTACCTGGGGTGGCACTGGCTGTCCCATGGAGGACCAGGGCCTGGTGCATCTGCATCTGGAGCAAGACGGATGCTGAATTAGTGGAAGGCAATTAAAAAACATCCTCATGCTGTACTCACAGCCTTTGTTGAAAGCACTGTAGAATACCTGCCCTACTGCAAGCAGATCTTTGTTTTCTGCTTCTGGTGGAGGTGCTTAGCACTCTGCAGCACTGCCCAGCCCAAAGACAAGCCCTGGGCATGACCCCAGCAAGGGCAATCGATTGAGGTCGCAAAGGACAAAATTGGTTACAAAGACCATCAGTGGTCAATGAGGATATGCACAGCATATCCTCACTCTTCCTGCAACTCCGTGCTTGTACGCAGCACCCTGCCTGTCTATAGGAAGTGTATAACTGATCCAGTTGCCATCCTCATGTCTTGGGGGGGGTGGGTTACTCCACATACTGCTGCAGGATGTTATGTATTTCGTGATCTGCCTTTTCTAATCTCTCCTTATTTCTTACTCCAACCCCTTCTCATGTCCCTCATCTATTGCAAATTCCCTTTTTAAGCTGGAGTGAAGCACACAAATATTTTCATGCTGCATGAATAGGCTGTTTTGTGCATAATGCCACAGGAGGCTTTTTTTAAAATAGATGACCTTTAGTGCTGTGATAACGGCCTCCTCATTTACACAAATGAAATCTTCCATCCACCTCAGCACTCATCTGCACAGCAGTCCCCATGCAAAGTGGTTGGCACAGCACCCGTTCATCATAGGCTACAGAATTAATACAGAATATTCCATACTTAATAGGAAACCACTACGCAGGAGGTTTGGAAATACCTTGCACATGTAAGTGATGCTCAGGTTTTCCTTTTAGTATGTCCCCAGTAGCAAATCTGTTGTCTTCCTTCTATGTGAAATCACAGCTACTTTAAATACTACAGTGCAAAAAAGGACAACTGTGTGTGTTAGCTCATTCACCAGCACCTTGGACCATCCTGTCTGCTCACCTTCTTTGACACTTCTTGCTCCCTCATCTTCATTTCATAGAATCATAGAATAGTTAGGGCTGGAAAGGACCTTAAGATCATCTAGTTCCAACCCCCCTGCCATGGGCAGGGACACCTCACAGTAAACCATCTCACCCAAGGCTTTGTCCAACCTGGTCTTGAACACTGCCAGGGACGGAGCATTCACAACCTCCCTGGACAACCCATTCCAGTGCCTCACCACCCTTACAGGAAAGAACTTCCTTCTTCTATCCAATCTAAACTTCCCCTGTTGAAGTTTTAACCCATTACCCCTTGTCCTGTCACTACAGTCCCTAATGAAGAGTCCCTCCCCAGCATCCCTATAGGGCCCCTTCAGATACTGGAAGGCTGCTATGAGGTCTCCATGCAGCCTTCTCCAGGCTGAACAGCCCCAACTTTCTCAGCCTATCTTCATACAGAAGGTGCTCCAGTCCCCTGATTGTCCTCGTGGCCCTCCCCTGGACTTGTTCCAACAGTTCCATGTCCTTTTTATGTTGAGGACACCAGAGCTGCACACAGTACTCCAGGTGAGGTCTCACAAGAGCTGAGTTCAGGGTCCAAAAAGCACAGGCACCATCAAAACAGACTTTTCATTTACTCTTCATAAACGAAGAGATAGCTCTTGTAAAAAAATATAGAGGTTACAAAACTAATGGAAGATACTGGTGGCCACACTGGACCATGGTAAATCTTTGACTCACAGTGGCTTTTCAGGAGCAGTATTTTAACAGCATCACAGTAAAATCTGGAATCAAACATCAGCAATTCTGTTTATATGTTTATATTTGACAGCATGTTTATATTTGACAGCACAAAGACTTCAAACCAATGGACAGAATTCCTCTGCAGTACATAGCAGAGAGACTTAAGAAAAATTATTCATTGTGCATCTTCCTACTTTCTCAGGTCAGGCTGCAACCCTTTAGGGACAGGCTATTGTGGAGCATTTATATTTCCTCTAGAATTCACCACACTGCTTCCAGCATGCAAAGCACTCCTAGGCTCTGGTCTGGACCTGATCCTGACCTCCTCAAGCCTTCAGGTAGACTTTGCATCCTAAACTGCTCTCAGGATGGCTCTTATTTAAAGACTTGGAGCATTTTGTTTTCCATTCTGAGTTCATGACACACAGAAAGCTTCGGTTGTCACTTCTCTGCAATTTAAGAGCAAGATTATGGGTGCTCTTTTCATGCATATCTTGCAGACTAATTTCTTCTCCCTTCCATCTGTTGTTTGACTTCTTTTCCTTCATTACATGTTAGCAATGAACAACTAACCCGTGGTGGGTCTCTCCCTGTGCAGGGCTCTGAACATTTCTTGCAGAGGGAGCATTCCACATGAATGGCTCCCACTCAGGTTGTTTTCTGCTCCAAGCAGGACATTTGTGCTTGTCTAACCTTAATGTGATTACTACCCCATTAGCAGCTCTACATATTGATTGGCAGAAGTGTTCTCTATCACCTTTAAGTCCAGAAGCATTGTAACAATGTATTAAAAAAAGAGAAAAGAAAGAACATAGGATATTATACATTTATTATTACAGTACCTTACCTGACAAAACTGCAGCTGTCCAAGTTTATCTTCGCTAGTCTGTAAAGAAGACTTGGTTTTTAGGAACTATCATTCTGCTAAAAGATCTAATTTCTCTATGATATAACAGCCCACATACAATAATTGAATCAAAAGCACAAATGGAGTCGACACTTTGTAATGCACCTAAACACAGTAGCTACCAGATTTTGCTAGCACTTTATTTCAATTTAGGCCAAAAGGATAATTTAAAAAGATTCCTTCCCAAATACACAATTAGAAAGATACAAGTTACTACTCAGAGCGATATTGTGACTCGGTGCTCTTAGTTGTTTTAGTTGAAATTCAACCTTGGCGATAACCAAACGTCCAGTAAAATTGGTCATGGAAAATTCCCATATTTGTAGACAATTATTAAGTTGTTCAGGGGCAGCTCCAGGGTCACCGAGAACTGGAGCACAAGGCCTGTCTTCCTGGGGAGTTTCTTATGGCACAGGATGTTTTACAAACACTTTGTTACCTGAGAAATAACAAACATAACAGACAGTTACATATAATAGCATCTTTGATCTTTGTTAGTAAGGCAAAAGGTAAGGCTGTTTATTGCTAACAAGTTAGGTGCTCATTAGTATGTTCCAATAGGAAACACTGACAGCAATAAGCATAAGCAGAAGGAAATGTTCAGCATTAAATCCACACACAACACATTTCAGCTCCTATTATAGCCAATGCAATAGAGAAAGGAAGAAATCCTTGCACACAACTATCCTAAAATTATGTATCAGAGCAAAAGCAAGAAGCATTTGTTGGATTTATTATCTTTTTTAACAAAGTTCACTTCCAGACAATACAAATGCCTGCGTTTCACTCCTAACCCACAAAACACCCTCCAAAGGAGGTCAGGATCATTTTACAGAAAACAAACATGAAGTGAAGCCACTTCTCTGATGTCCCTGAGCAAGACAGCCCAGTCTGCAGCTCTGCCAACCACTAGGCGTAGGAACAAAGGATTAGAAAGGACATCCTGTGTCATCAAATCCAGCTTCTTACTCTTCAAATCAATCTTGCTGTAATAATCTCATGCAAGAGTCTTTGGGGGCACATGATCTCTTATATAAGCTCCTGCAAATGCTCTTTCAAGATCATCATCTGTGTACCCTCATCCATCCTGACCCTGTGGTGGGACTCTACCTAATACCAAGGTATTGCACACCAGTGATCTGGGACCATTGCCCTGAAAATGCCCCCAGTCTCACATGCTGGAGAATAATGAATGGGGTATGTCCATGAATAGGGTATTCCCATGTCTGCTCCAATTTATGCATCTCTTGATGGTCCATCCTAGTAAAAGACCTGTAACAGGTAACATAATATATGAAGGTGTTCCTGAAGCAGAGAAATAAAAATGCTGAGAGCCTGACAACTTCAACGTGAAAACTGGTTGTGAAATCCCTGCACAAACTCATGGCCCAGCTGTAATTGCACCATTAACAGGAGGCTTGTGGCAGGCTTGGGCTTACCCCTGCACATACCTGTCCTTCTGTGTCAGACTGCATCCTGGTAAACAACTGAGTCTCAAGTATGCTCAGTTCAATATGTTCCGAAGTCCATCACTCCCTTCCTTTTTCAAATAGCCACTTACTGGAGGAGTTATTAATGCCCTTCCACCTACACAGCCTGGACACCAAAATTCACACAAAGGCAGCTTTCAAGCTCTGAGGTCACACTTGAGTTGCTGGTTAGAGTGTCTCTCTGGACAGCTCTATTATGCAGCAGCTACAGCAGTAAGATAACAATACAAACCTTTACTAATAATTGAGCATGAAGTGGGCTTTTTGCTTGGGAACCTCAGTTTTGTACCTTCACAGCGTGGTTAGAGGTGGCTTCAATATTTGGAAAACTATTTCAGCTTATCAAACACGAAGCTGTTACACAACTGTTAGACAAGGGTAGGGCCTCCAAACTTGTTCCCTGGGGCTGTGAGTGAGGTTTGGATCCTTGCTGTTGTTTCGGCTGCAACTCCCCAACCACCCACTTCTTTGTCTGATTGTCTTTTCTCACTGAAACATATGTTCCTCCTTCCAATGGCATTTTGAGCAACAGTTTCCATTTTATGTCCTTATTGACTGACAGTTTGATGGCAGGCTGTAAATGACTTGGCACGTGTTTTGTGAATCTGCTTGAATGCAGGCCTGGCTGCTTAGTACATGCATCCTTTTTGCAGCTCTAAGGGCAAGAGATTAGTGTCATTTTAGCACAGGTTTGGGTAAAAAAAAAGTACTTGACCACAGTTGGTATCACCCTTATTTGAAGCTCAGCATTGTCCTGTACCAGATCCTGGGACATAACATCCTTCAGTTACGTTTGGCTTTCTCCATTTTCCTCTCATACAGTGTGGCATACATAAAGCTCAATGATGAATCAGGAATGGATCAGACAGCACAGGTAAGCATTCAGGCTGTCGGATGTGCAAGTTCAGAGAACATCTGGCCCTCTGTCAGCTTTCTTTACTAACAGTAACACAGTTGATGCTTTGCCTTGTGTGGTACAGTCTTGTCTGTGTCTCTGGCCATGACGTTTCTACGGTAGCTATAATTGCAGGACCCAAGCAGTGCTGCATGGAATACACATACTCTTGACAGCTGAATTAAATGGCCACCTATAGGGAAACTGAAGTCCAGATAATGAGGTGTATAACTTTCAGCACAGTACTACTTACAGCCTCAAAATTCCAGAGCCCTGGAATAGGTGTGAGGGGGACATTATGCTTATGCTGGCCTCTAACAAGAAGAAGACATTACACTTATAACTATAGCTAACCCTATCACAGCTTTGTTTTCATAAGGATAAGAAGGATATGCTTCAACCAGAAAGCATTAGCCCACCACATTTATTTAGGGAAGCCTTTTGCCTTAAGCCTTTTAGGATGGGTATTACTGTTGTACACAATTCCTGCACTACTTCTGGCTGCTTACATCTTCCCTTGAAGAGGTAATTTAATTCCTGTGCATAAACCTTCTTCTCCCTGCTACAGAGGTGGTGGGTCTGGATGTTCCACACTTCAAAAATACTGGCAAAGGGCCAGATTATGTCTGTCTGTTGGATTTCTGTTGATATTAACTTCCCTCACATCCCACTGGAATCACAAAACAGATTATATGTACTTTACTGCAGAAAAAAAAGAGAACTTTGGGCAAGAATACATAGGCCCTATGATCTGATCCATCTTCTCTTTGCTATTTCCAACTACTTAAAGCATAATGTCACACTGAAGCATTCTCTTCTGACAGATTGTTAATGATGCTTTTCAAAGGTGACCTTCATGAAACATGTTTCTTTTGAAGCTTATATTTCACTCGCAGGTCATAACATTTTCACACAGACAAGCAAACCATCAGCTCCCCATTTCTAATTAATAGTTCTTGGAGGCTTCTGAGTGGGGGATATAATTAACAGCACTTAAATTTGGAGTGCAGAGAAATCCACAGCCGACTACTAGGATGTGTATTTACTTGGGGATCATACATAAACAGCTCCTAAGTGCAGCCATAAAGAGCTCTCAGCCCAGGACCATTCACTACCCCCAGTCTAACTCTTGTAAAGCACTCAAAAAAATTTCCCTGTTTATAAAGCAAGGCTCTGACACTGACAGGGTCCCTTCCTCCTGTACTCCTTTCCCCTGCTCCCATTCCCCACACCAGAGCCTACAGCACGCTGTGTTTCCTGTGATGTATGGTGAGTCTGCTTGCTAAAAAGCTGCCACAACCTTTGCTATGGTCTCCACTGCAGGTACAGCATCACCTGGGGCAGAGCAGATTGTGTCCTCACTGCATGGCATGTGTCCCAGATCAACTCTGGATTCACTTCAAGGCACAGCCATTAGTTTGTGGTTTTATTCAGTTTAAAGTACAATAAAAGGAGGGCTTTTTGTGCAGTAAAGCAATCAAAGAAAGGTGTTGTATTCCATCCCATCATACTTGCCTAAAGTTAAGGTAAGTGATGGGATTGGTTTGGTGCAATGCATGCATCATGGATTGTTAGAAGCGCTGGAGCAAAACCAGATGCAAGCCAAACTACCAGTTAAATCCCCTCTGGCCTCTGGGTCAGCTGCTGCTAACAGTGGTAGTTTCCCTACTGAAGTCAACAGAACAGCATCTTTTCACACATACTGAGTGTTCTTGGTGGAGAAGAGGCATCTGTGAGGCAGGATAAGTGCTCTTAAAGAACGAGATCACCTCTTTTTTTTTTTTGCAGTGGGGCAAAGAAAAAACCCCAAAAGAATAGAATTCATTCTCTGACAAAGTTGAAAAGCCTATGTTCTCCAGAAACTTCCCCACTTCCAGATGAAGGGGAGAACAGACATCAGAAATCCTGCATAACTCTGCAACCTGCATTATTTGGAGAGGTTTTAAAAAGAACTTGGCATGCTGAATGACACAAAATATTCAGATGGTTAAGCAAGTAAAAGCTGTTGAATATTTGTAACTCTAAAAGCACTAGGCAACAGACTATCACTGTCAACCCCTTTATGCAAAGGGATGTTTTGACATCGTACTTAAGACTGACTCCTTTTCTAATGGCATGAAAGTATTGCTTCAGTTATGAATAAAACAGGAAAACTACCACTGAAACTTGTGCAGCCTGGTTCTTTCTTCAGAAACAACACCACAGACTGAAACTGCCTTTGAAGAGAAGCATTTTTCATATACTGTCTCTGAAGGTTAGTAACTCTTTTAATCTTCAGCCATTTTGCTAGCATGTGTGGTTTTAAATGCACAAAACACCCTGCTATAGATAAAGGTGCATCTGAAAATAAGATTGGAAATTAAGATGCTACATGGGGGCTTGGAACTAGGTGATATTAAGGTTCTCTCCAACCCAAACCTTCCTGTGATTCTATGAGACAGTCTACAAATGCAGGCAATATGTGCTACTGAACCTACTCAAGTCATACAGCTGTGTGACAGTTAGTGTAGGACTCGTGATAAATGCAAAGATATCTGGGAAAGCTCTGAAAGACAGTTCAGCCTGTTCTGGCTAATCTAGCTGGGCTGGGCTTCTTTGAATGAAGCACTTAAGTAGAAAAATAATGCATAAAGCCATAAAAATTGCTATTTATAGGCTCCAGAACACCCACATTCAGCTCTTTCTCACTTTCCCTGTGCCGCATGAAACAACTCAAGTTGAATATCACCCAGGTAAACCTATAAATGGCAAAATAAATCCTTTGTAGGTGAAAACCAAAAATAGCTTCAAAGAAGAATGTATATAACCTTGTTAATTTGCCAGAAGTTTTCCATCTTCGTCACTTCAGAAGCAAGGTTAAGAGAGCAATAAAGGCTGAGAAATTCAGAAGGTGTTCAAATATACCTTTATCTCAGGTCCAGAGCTTTAAACCTCAGAAGCAAAACAATGTCAGGGAGAAAAGATTGACAGTGATCTTTTGTGTTGGGAATCAAGGGTTGGAAGGACTGCCTGTAGCAGGCAAAATACTCATGATAATGATGCCAGTAAGATTTAATTTACCAGTCTGCTCTAGGAAAGGTAATGACCTTAAATATAACGGGGAACTTATCAAGAGGTCATCTGTGCAGACTTACACTGATTTATTTTCATAATAAATGGAAGTAAAAGTCCAGCCACATGAATTTGCTTGCAGGAAGGGATTTATACCATTTATCCAGCTTTGTATTTAGTATCAGAAGAGTCTAAGAATATTTGATTGATATGTGGGGATTTAATTCCACTCCTTTGAGAATCTCTGCAGGAAAATATTTCAAATTCCATTTCTAACAAGATGAAAAAAAAACCAAAACCTACAAGATATGTAATGGGGAAAAACATCACACCATGATAAGGATGTGCCATTACAGATGTAAGAAGGGAACTGCATATGTTAAACAGCTTTCTCTGTGCCAGTCCATAGAAGCATTGACACAGCTAATTTGACTGGAAAAGACAAAAGCATGGTCATCATGCAAAAAAAAAAAAACCAAAAACATCTGATGAACTCAAAGGAAAATGGCAAAATGGCATAGGAGATGAGAGCTGCCACGTGTGCCATGCACACATCCTGTTCATGCTCAAGATCTATCAATGAATAAAGAATATCAAGAATTAATGTTCAGCTCAAGATTTATGAAGCTGGGCTTCAAGCAGTGAGTCACAGGCAGAGAGGAGGTATATTTATGGGATTTCAGTTCTTCAGAGGGAAAAAATATGAGAAAGTCAGAAATGACAGAGAAATGAGAATGCTGGATGATGGCAAACATCATATAGGGAACAGGGGAGAGGGAGCTTTTGGCATCACTGCTGCAGCGCACATGCCAGTGTAACTCCTATTGATCTCTGGGGCCCAGCTCATTTCTACTGGAAAAATCTGGCTTCTGGGACTCCAGGTACAAAATGAAAACCTCACAATTTCTAGAGCACCAATGGCAGCATTTACCAAGCGTTTCCTCTTTTCAATTTTCCCCTGCAAATCTTTTTCTTTTAGGGCTAGTGCAAAATTTAGCAGAACAGCCAGTTTTCCAGCAGGCTTAATTTTGAAAGATGGACTGATCAGATGATTTAAGATTTGAGAGATAAAGTTAGCATTTGCCTATCCACTCTATCCACTTTGAATTCTGATGGGATTTTCTATATAGAGATGTGTATATATATATATATCTGAGCATATACAGAAACACCAGGTTTTAGCTCTTCATAGAGGTAGCAATGCTATTTTCTGTTCTAAAGACGGAGGATATGTTAGGTTAGACATTTCTCCTAAGTAACTGCTGATGATTCTGATTTGCAGATATGTTAGTTTTTGTTATCTAGAAACTAAAGGCTCTAGGAAGGTGCTGATTTGCTCACGGAGGAGCATGTTATTTTAGCCACCGTTGCAGTGCTGTGTCCTTTTGGAAGCAACACAGACCTAGGAGCTTTCATTTCTTTCGTTTCATATTCCCCTTCTGTCCTCAAGAAGCCTATGGAGGTTTGAACAGCTTTTCATGTGTTGCAGGAATAAATCAATGTGTAAATCATTACCTCTAATTTTCCTGAAAATACTTCTTCAGAATTGCTGCTTCAGCTGCCATTTCTTCTTCTGTCCTCCACTTGTCAGGGGAATCCTCTTTGTCGTGTCTCTGCAACTTTTATTGAGGGAGAAAGAAGGAAAAAAAAGTGTTCGTTATTTTTTTTTCCCCTAGTTCTATTGTAAAATTCAGTGCATCCCTGTGTGCAACCCATCTAACTATTCCATGTGTCTGTGGTATTGAAGGACCTGGTGATAAAGAGATAAGGGCAAAGGTTACGAGTTTAGAGTGGTGACAGTAGTTAACCGATTCTGATGGATTATTGATGATAACTCAAGGTGCCAGGATAAATGATAGGCAGTGACAAGAGCTCACCTTTGACTTGATGGTCAAGTACCTTGTGAGTCTTTGATGCAAAGCTGGTAGATAAGGTAATAGGAAAACAAACGCATTCAGGTATTCTGAAGTGCCCATTACATCAGTGGAGTGAGCGATGCAGGAGCTGTCTGGACACCTTGTCAGTAATTTATTTTAAATCTTCTCTAGCCTTTCCTCTGCCCATGGGGCCACCTTTCCCATCAAAGACCTGTTGTGATAACAAGGCCCCGTTGCAGCTGTTTCCCAGTGGCAGCTCATATCTGTAGTTTTCAGAAGAGATACATTCCCTCCCTGCATGCAAGTTACTCATCCTTCCTTACCCTTGCTGAAAGGGAGACGTATCCCCAGTCTAGAAAGAAAACCTATTATTTTAAGCATAATAATGATGTAATGCAGGAAAAGATACAAAGTATGTGAAACATTAAATTTTTGCATCTAGATTGCATAATATGCTCACAAAAGTAAGTTCTATCCCATATACAGTAAACTTTAAGTGATCTTATCCCAGACATGACGATTTCAAATACATCCTTTGCCCCTCCAGAAGAAGGGACAAGCTGATGGATTTGCTGATCTCCAGAAGAAAGGACTTCTATTTTATAGCAAATATAACATGCCAGCACTAAGAGTGACTATTTCTACATATGTTCATCCAAAGACTGCCTGACACTCATATCAAGGGAATTTACAACAGACAGCAGAAGCATTTGCATTAATGGCTTAAGTATTGAGATTTCCAGTGTGTCTCTAGGAACAGAGCACAGAGTGTATTAACAGCATCAGTGCTTCTGGGGAACACTGTAATATTGACTTTTTGTTAATGTCACAAAGTTGGAAACTAATGAATTTACACCTGGACAAATTTTAGCACAGAAGATAAAGCAGTGAAAAAACAAAGATGAAACAATACTGAACCTGCCAAGCAAACTGCATCACTGTCTATGGCATGTTTAGCAATAAACTAGGATTGTTAGCATACATCCAACTCACAAATACTTTTATTTGTGCTGCATTTCTCCTACTCTGAATTTTGCTGCCAGCTACAGTCCTATGTAGTTTTACATTCTGCAGCACAGATTTCTCCCTGCTCAGCAGATGAACCGCATCAGAAAGCTATTTCCTTTCATGCCAATACTATACAGTAGCTGTAGGCAAATCAGAGTGTATTACTGTTCAACTAGTAGAGGACTAATCTTCACTGTTATATTAGCTCTAGGTGTGTTATAAATCCACCTTGTAATAATGCTACAGAATTAGAGAGAAAGATTCAAAAGCCAGAAACTGGTACAGTGTGTACACTGTCAACACACCCTTTGTGTCCATGTGCACAGCACCACCTACTCTATACACCTATACAGTGCATAGGTACCATGGCTGAGCTGGTAATGAGAGGGAGCTCTAGGAAAGAGCATACAGCATCCTGTACTTTCCATGGACTGTGAGCACTTCCACTTCACAAGAGGATGCACCAGGCCAAGCCAAGTGGTGGTAAATAAATTGTCTGTCTGAGGTGTGAACTGTTTCTCTAAAAAAAAAAAAAGCACTGTCTTGCTCAATCGACCTAGCATCAGCAGGAGATACAGCAGGCAACAGCTAGAAGGCAAGGGAGAGCAGCCCCTGTTCCTCAAGGTCACCTTATTTAACCTGCAAGAAGTGCTTTCAGTGACTTGATTTGGCTGCTGTTCTCCCTTGCTATCCTGTTTCCATGCAACCCAAGCGACAGCTGACTCGAGGATGAGACTAGTAAAGTGCAGGTTTGACTTCTAGTTTTATTTTCATTTTCCCTGGTCAAAGAAACTGAACAGTAATAAGAAGGCATAGCCTGAAAAGGCTGGTTTTGTTGTCTAAATTAAAACTGTGCGAAGTCACGGACCATGGTGACTTCTCAAAGCTGGCAAAGAAGAGGATTTCTTTTGCTACACAACTGTTAACCTTTAAAAACAATAAATCTTTGACTTAAGGTTAACACAGACATATGGAGAGCAGCAATGAATTCTGAAACTTGCCTAGAAATGCCCTGGCTCCTAGTACACAGCCTGCAATACCAGCACAGCAACACCAGCCAGGCACAAAGTGCTTAATGCAGCCTTACCATTCTCTGCTGTTCACAAACCCCTCATACTGAGATGTATCCACATTTCTTGGTATTTGGACAGCAATTCCTCCTGCAGGACATGGCAGAGGGGCTGAGAGGGGGGTCTGCCTACACAGAGCCCTGCATCACTGCAGGCTGGAGCAAATACTAGTGTATGAAACCTTTTCTGTAGAGCTCCAAGATAGTTATCATTTTAAAACTGCTGGTACTTGGCCTGTTTTCATAAGAGACAAGATACTCTACTACAAAACTCAGAAAGCCCCAAATTCCCTGAGGTCAAACCCACTGCTATATTACAGGAGTGTCTCGGGAGCCCAAGCATTAAGAAAAAGGCAAGCAGCCAGATAAGCATAGTTCAGATAGCTCCAAAAGAAGAGGATGAGAGAGCATAAAGGTTTGAGACAATTCCTATTAATCCAACTTTTTCTTTTAATATTCTGAACAAGCACCAAGACACACATTAGTCACTTCTCTAATCGCAGCTGCCCAGCAAATTACACACTGTATCTGCTCCACATTCTTCAAGCAGTAAGACCCTTGTTTATAACTTACTACATCTTCTTGCCTTGCAGTACAAATAAATGCACTATTTCTATGATATGCCCTTCTTCAAGCAGATCATTACTGATGTCTGACTTCTTGGGCTTCCTGATAAATTATCCTCTTCTTTCACCTCAAGCAGAAAATGCTCTTCTACCAATAATCCATGACTGTCAGTCTTGATTACTTGTAAACAGCGGAGCTCCTGGAATATTTCTGCTTGTGAAAAGTGTTCATTTTCTCACTCCTGTCTCCCAGTGTGAGATGCTGGCAGACCTGACAGCTGTGCTTTATGTTATTGTATTAAAGTTGTTAGTGCTGCAGAATGGTCTACATTTTTATCACTGCAATTCTTCCGGGAAACACAATATTGTTTTATAACACAGTTGCATTGAGGAACCTCTCCTTCTTGCCCCTTTAGAGAGGAGCCCAATATTCTCTATGCAACAGATTATAGGAGACCTGGGTCTATGACTGCCTGTTGTTTGAAATAATATCTATATTATGGTTTGCTCTATTTATGCAATAATACTGGCAGAAAAACAACCTGGTTTAATATAGAGCACCAGCCAAAAGTATGGGGAAAAAAGCTTTTATGATATTTAGTACTATTCTCACTCCCCATGAATATTTACTGTTGATAGTTAGGAGCTTACAACCTCCAATTCATTTAACTGAAAGAAGAAAATATAGTGATGGAGAGTAATCACACCAAACTGCAGCCACACAACAAAATTCAGCTGCTTCAGCAATTATAAAATACAGTGTTATGAAACCCAGCAGTTAACAAAAACCCCATGAATTTCTGCTACCAGTTTGGATCAGGTATTAGGCATTACCCAGCTACTGGTCTCCATTATTATCAATACATCTTGGGATACCTAGGCCTCTTTTCCATGCTGAATTCCCACACTTGAGTGAAATCTACAGAGTAATGTTTCAGCATCAGATTAACTTGTGAACCACGAGGAGGCTGCAAGTCTCATCTCTCTCCAGTAGATGGAGACACTGAAGATGAAAGTGAGTTCAGGCTGCTACACCTACCTCTTCCTCCCCTTTTGCCCTCCTCACCCTGGTCTTGTGGTCCTTGCTCTTTCCTCCCACCCCGAGATATCTTTCCTTTCAATTCTCTTTATATTTAGCTTATATCCTTATAGTAAGACTTCATTTTTACCCCTCCCCATACCATAATTGTGACATTTACTGCTATTATTAGTGTCTCCTTCTGTGCTCTATCCTCCCTTCACCCTCTGTTGTCTTTCTGAAGGGAGTGTGAGCTTTTTGGTGGGCAGCCTCCTCTGCAAAGTCCACGCTTCCTGTCTCCATCTCATTTTTCAGTTGCGGCTTGAGTCTCAACTTAATCAGCAATGTAAAATGAAAGGAAAACGGATGAAGCAAAATGTTTTCCCAAAGAAATTTCTTAGGGATGCTGCATTCACGTAGTCCTAAACTCAGTTTTACCTACCTAGGACTTAGGGGTAATCATTGCAGGAGCTCCCAGCCCTGGCAATCCCCAAGAAAACACAAAAACACAGGCAGAGAACAACTGTGGCATGTTCCCTCCTGACCACCTGAGAGATCACCTGCAAGATATGGTGCAAGAGATCTGTTTCTAAGCCCCTTTTACCATTTTCCCCACTCCACAGCCTGAGCAGCTTAGTCAGTTCATCTCTAGGCCTATCTATATTTAACTACAGCTGGAAGACTGCTGTAATTTAATTGTTCTAATTTACAGTGAACACTGCAGAAAAACACAACATCCTGTAATTTTCTCATCTGCTGACTTTGCTTAAGACTCTGTATCATACTGATATCTGCATTTGCATGAATCAGAAATCCCCAATTTTGGTGTGGCTTTTACTTGCTGTATTAAATTTGAGTTATTTAAGGAGATGAAGAAGCAGCCCAAGTTGCCTGCATTCTACGAGACACCATCTTTTAACTACCTATTGGAAAACCCTTCTCCAGTCGTTACACTACCTCTGCATGAAATAAGCTGCTACCTCCCAGCTGCTGCTATTGCTGCAAAGCATATATCCCATTGGAAACCTCAGTTTATCAAAGCTTCAGAGAGCAGTGTTTTTTTTTCCGCTCCTATCAACTC